ATAATTTTACAGCACATTCACAGTTACTCAGAATACATGACCTAAAATTAGTAATCTAATAGATTACATTACTAACTACAATTTTCATCTTGTAATTGCATTGCGCATAGAATACAGGAATTCAGGACAGCTTGAGAATCATGCCTGAAGTTGTGTGGTTGTTGATCCCAAATACTGACAGTGTGAACACATAGGTCACAGAGCTTTGGTTTGTCAGTGCCAAAGTAAAACCAAAGGCAATGCATTTCATCCAGCTTTCATTCCTGAGCAACATTTCATTGTTGGTCTAACACTGTTGTCTTTGAGAACTGCTGCTCTCTTCCTCAATTTGAACTCATTCTCTTTTAATTCACAGGATTTTATTTACAAGGGACTGGGCAAATTGTCCTGTCAGCTTCTCTGTTGTATGGTGCTCCATTTGATCAGCCTCAGCTTTGTTTATATGCCCGTCACCGCCTGTAAACCTGTCTCGCTCACTCCATTAGCATTCCTCATCAATAATTGATCACATCTCAATTCTGGAAGGAACTAACGACATCCAGTTTGAAGCTCCACGGTGTAGAAGTCCCACGATCTGTTTGATCCTCCGCATTCATGTTGCATGTAGCTTTCAAATACTGCTAGTGTTCAAGTTCCCATGCATGACACATCACGCACAATCATGCTGGACTAACCCTGCGTCCCAATCCACATGCTATCCACCCTAAAAAGTATGCAGGATTTGAATTAGAGTGACCTAAATGACAGAAAAAATGTATCAAACATAAAAGTTCCAGTGTGCAGCCCTGCATTCTAATGTTGTGCTAATATTATCCACAACCTCTTGCGCAAAGTTTTTGATATTTGACTTTCAACTTTTCTAGATGTAAAAAAGGGTGAGGAATGTGAGGTTGAAGCTGTTGCTTAATGAATGAACCTAATCTGGGCGAAAATACTAATTACCTCAAAACAATTACAGTCTTAATTAGTCCAAGTTTATAAATATTGAAACATTTACAGTGTTTTTCAACTGAACTATTTTTAACTAATGAATTTAAATGAAGTAAATGTTCACAGTTATGCACACCCATATAATCATCAGACATGTTAGTACAATCTGTAAAACAATTTGTTATTAGCTGATTAATCAGTTAATTCAATGTTGGTGCTTTTTGTCAATATTAATAATTTTATTCCATTTTTTTTAATCAGCCACTTTTATGTCACAAATCATCATGGTTTCCACAAAAAATATTAAGCAGCACAACTGTTTTCAGCATTAATAATAATAAGAAATGTTTCACGAGCTTCAAATCAGCATATTAGAATGATTTCTGAAGAATCATGTGACACTGAAGACTGGAGTAATGATGCTGAAAATTCAGCACAAAAAATTACTATATATTTAAAATAACATTTTAAATCACAATTGAAATTAATAATGAAAAATTAAAATAATTGTATTAATATAAATTAATAATAATAAATTGCAATATTTTATTTAAATTGCAATAATATTTAACAATATTACTGTTTTTAATGCATTTTGATCAAATAAATGCAGCCTGACCATTAGATACTTTCAACAACATTAAAAAAATCTTACCGACCACAAACTTGAAAGGTGGAGTACGTATATTGTACTAATACATTTATCAGCGAATAAACAAAAACAAAATGAGCAAGTTCCATATTCACATAATTCCAATTCAACAATTCAAAATCATACTTGTGAACTGAAAGGAATTTTCACCAAACCATGATATAAGTATGTGAAATGGGATGCAACCATTAAATTTGTCTGTGATTAAGACATTTTATGTAGTCAGTCCACATACATTCATCATACTGACACAGCTGTGAGTATTTCAAGAAATAATCCAGCGAATGTAGAAAAGCAAATTACTTTTTTATTTGTAAATGGCATTTACAAATGGATATTCACATAACCTTTTATTTGACAAATTTCTCACAAAAATATAACTCTTTTCAAAAAAGTTTAAATATCTGTACATTTGACATGAATGCATTTACAAGAGTGATGGACCCATCTGAAGGAGCCAGTGTCTAAAAGCAATCCTAAATCTTTGATAGTGTTCGATATTTCGTGTCACTGATAGGAATAGTGAGAGCCAAACACAGCACGACGATGCCGCTCAACACTTACCCACTGAAGGAACGAAACCAACTGTATAAATATACAAACTGTTGATGAAAAGACATTATGGGCAGCGGCACAAAGAACTCAAACATAGCACTGATGCTATATCTGATTATATTTGGCAGGTATGTGCAAAAGTGACTTTTTGTAGAACAACTAAACCATTACGAACTGTAGTTGATAAATTAATAAACAAAAAGAACATTTAACCCATTCCCCCACCAGTGAAATATCATACAAGGCACTATTATGAGTTATGAAACAGAGCGTTTAGCCAGTCGGATGTGATCCTAAAGTGAGCAAATCGGAAACATTTGTGATGAATATTCAATATAAATCTAAAGAAAATATGAAGCATAACCGAATGAGTGAACTTACTTAAAAAGTCCTTTCCCGTAATATAAAGGTGAAGCGTGTAATTTATATCTCACTAAACAGAATTGAAAAAAATAGTGACTGTTTCCCAATTTTTTATGGGCCGTCCACACAGGACACATTCTTGCATTTCCATTTGCACTGTTTTTGTTTGTATTTCTAACACCATGCGCCAGTTTCTTTGGCTATTTTCATGGCCAAAACCATAAACTTAAAAAAATGTGGTGTTCAGTTTTCTAAAGTGTTTTTGAAAAATCACAAACCCTGCCTTTAAATCAGAAATTGCTAGTAAATTTTTACAAATTATTATAAAGAAACCACAAGCAACACATTGAATTAAATGTGGAATTTTAGTAAAAAGTAGAAAGACTGAAATAGTTCTCCAGTAATTTATTTACAACTTCTAAAAAAAATCATTTATAGTGTACTTGAGTTATTAAAATTGAAAACAATCTAAATAAAATATTTAAGACCCATTCCAAAAACGATATTTGGATTTCTGCATTATTTTTAATTGGCTTATTAAAAAAGGTGCTAAATGAATGCCTTTGGCTGTTACTCTGCATCTCACTGTTTTTTCAACATTTTGCATCTTTAAGATGCACTTAAGATATTTTTGAAATAATAGACCAAATTAGATGATATTTACAGTACATTTGATCAAGTTGAGTGTTTATTAGCAATTGTGAATGGTTAATAAAGCACCTATAAACGTCTTATTTTTATTTACACTGTTTTTAACGCTAGAATGTGTTTCTGTCTGAACTGGCCCTCAGACGCATTCCACCGCCACTGGATGAGTCTGAAGTTGACATGTCAGGATACTCGATCAAAAAGAGTATTGTGGAAAGCACCACAAAGCCACAGTGTTACGCTCTTCAGGAAGTCACCAACTAATGGCTTACTCACAGTTAGAGAAAATATTTTAATATTGAAAAAATTACAAACTTCACCTTTTTAAAGGAACAGTTCACCCCAAAATGAAAATGTGCAGAAAATGTACTCACCCTCAAACCATCCGAGTTGTAATGGGTTTGTTTCTTCATCAGAACAGATTTGGAGAAATTTCGCATTCCATCACTTTGCTCACCAACGGATCCCTACAGTGAATGGGTGCCGTCAGAATGAGAGTCCAAACAGCTGATAAAAACATCACAATAATCCACACCACTCCAGTCCATCAAATTAATGTTTAGTGAAGCGAAAAGCTGAGTGTTTGTAAGAAACAACTCCATCATTAAGTTATTTGAACTTAAAACCGTGACTTTGGGCCAAAATATGAGTCCATAATTCCTGTTGTCTCTCGCATCAAAATCCTCCAACAGATTTAGAGCTGTTTTGGACTGTTTAAACTTGTAAACAGTGCTTGATCTGTGCAGATTTCTCTCCTGATTCAGATGAGATTACCTTTTCACTGGAGAAAGCAATATTATGGATGGAGTACTCTTATTTTATTTGGAAGCAAGTGAAAAAAAACAAACATTTTGATGGATTTGTTTCTGACAAACATGCAGCATTTCACTTCACAAGATGTTAACTGATGGACAGGAGTGGTGTGGATTACTTGTGGATTATTGTGATGTTTTTATCAGCTGTTTGGACTCTCAATCTGACGGCACCCATTCACTGCAGAGGATCCATTGGTGAGCACGTGATGTAATGCTACATTTCTCCAAATCTGTTCTGATAAAGAAACAAACTCATCTACATCTTGGATGGCTTGAGGGTGAGCACATTTTCAGATTTTTTTCATTTTTGGGTGAACTTGTCCTTTAAAACAATTTGTTAAATTGTTAAAAACAATTTGTAATTGCAATCATTCCTTATTAAAATACTTGAGTGTTGAAATTCCATGAGGAAGTTTGCGCTTGAATGGTGAGCATCATCCACTAGGAACGCTCATGTTCCTTAAGCAACTTGTTAAGCGCACTGCGATGATGAGACGATGTGCACAGTCTGAAGGGGCGTTCACACATACAGCCATTTCATCACACACTGAGATGCGCTGTGAGTAAAAATAAGCTTGTTTTGACAGAATCAGTTTTCCTGCCGGTACAAATGAGCATTCTGCAGAGGAAAGAGTTTGAATATAAATCGCAGCTTCACTTAAGCATCACATCATGAAGTAAATGAACGATTATCAATGCATGGATGGACTTTAAACGCTCATGATTTCTGACAATATTCTCCATGCATCATTTTTTTTGAGCAGAGAAATCATACGGAACATTAACTTCACCATTTTGTCTACAGTATCCAACAAGAGACGGATCACGTTATCACATCAAATGTCTTCACTCCTTCTGGTAGTCACAGTATCATGTTGACTTGCGTAAAGTTCAACGTTTCTCAACTTTTAAGCAAATCGCTGTATGTGTGAACACCCTTGGAATGGCTTCAAACAAGTTGCTCTCACATTGAAAACATAACTTTTTGTTTTTGTTTTCTTTTAAATACAAAATCAACACTCTCAGAGTGAGATGTAGATAATATATAATTCTCCACTCGAACAGTGAAGAACATGACGTTTTCCTGCAAATCTGTGCACAGCTTTGAGCCGCTGTGTCAGTACCGCATCCCAAACTGTGCTTGAAAGTTGCTTCGAAGAGACTAAAACAAGAAATATACCAACCCAAAAGTGACCGTTCTGACAGCATCAAACCCTCAAACCATTGTGCAAACCGTATTGAGATTGGGATCGAAGCGGACGACCTTTCCCTCGATGGATTTGGAATTGGTGTTGTACATTGGATTTTCGAATGTAGCCTGGCCGTTGTTGTTTTCATGCACAGAGCAGCCGCTGTACTCCGCTTTATCAGACTTCCTGCGATCAAATGAGAAGAAAAAGACCATCAGGAATAAGATTTTCTCATCTTTTTTCATCAGTAATTTCACTGCTGAAATTGCACCCACCTCTGTTTATAGAGATAAAAGCCAAAGCCTGCAAAAATCAGGGCAAAGAAAGGCACAAGAATCGCAACGGCCACAGAGCTGCTGTTGGTTCTGGGTGGAACCTCCGGGTTCCTGGTTGGCTCTATTATGTTCAGACCTGAATGATGCATGATGGGAAATAATAGTTTTTAATAGAGCTACATCAATCTAGGAGAAAACAGCTCATGTCAAGTGTCAAAGTAGCATAATTGAATACTTTCCGTACCCATTATATATACATAATAAATATTCACAGTACACACACATATATTATGCAAACAAAAACTTTTATTTTGGATGCGATTAATCACGATTAATCGTTTGACAGCACTAGTTATATTATATTATATAACCGGGGATAAACAGGAAATAATAAACAAGTTACACAAAACTTATAACAATATATTCAGGATTTCATATTCAATTAGAGAACAATTAATAACTACTTGTTTTTTTTCTTTCTGAAATATTGTTAATCTTCATCACGCAAAATTTGAAGAAATATTAGCTGTAGGTATACCACTGTTCCACTAATATATTTTCCAACAAAATTTCCAAATGCATTTCGACAAAAAACATTATTTTGTGAAAAACACAGTGATCAAAATGAGAGAACAGTAACCACTGTAGCAAGAAAGATGATTACAACTAAAATTGAAAACAAGTAATATACCAACACAAAAGTGACAGCATCAAACCCTCAAACCATTGTGCAAACCGTATTGAGATTGGGATCGAAGCGGACGACCTTTCCCTCGATGGATTTGGAATTGGTGTTGTACATTGGATTTTCGAATGTAGCCTGGCCGTTGTTGTTTTCATGCACAGAGCAGCCGCTGTACTCCGCTTTATCAGACTTCCTGCGATCAAATGAGAAGAAAAAGACCATCAGGAATCAGATTTTCTCATCTTTTTTCATCAGTAATTTCACTGCTGAAATTGCACCCACCTCTGTTTATAGAGATAAAAGCCAAAGCCTGCAAAAATCAGGGCAAAGAAAGGCACAAGAATCGCAACGGCCACAGAGCTGCTGTTGGTTCTGGGTGGAACCTCCGGGTTCCTGGTTGGCTCTATTATGTTCAGACCTGAATGATGCATGATGGGAAATAATAGTTTTTAATAGAGCTACATCAATCTAGGAGAAAACAGCTCATGTCAAGTGTCAAAGTAGCATAATTGTTCAAGTAAAACTGGAGTACAAAGAGATCTGGTTAATCTAAAGATATATGCAAGTGTGATTTATGTGTTACTATATAAACGAGTTATGCAAGATATTATGAAAGAGATATGAAAGATCTGCTCTTACTATAAATAAATGGTGGATGATAACTGTTGCTAGGTGTCTATAATAAGATTATGCAATTCTTTAGTTATTTCAAAAGTAATATAATGTGGTGCCATACACTGCATATATTATTTTGTATTATATTGTGTTCTGTTCTGTTGTTATATTGTATTGTATTATGTTATATTTTATTATATTACATTACATTATGAGTAACCACTGTAGCAAGAAAGATGATTACAACTAAAATTGTGGAGGGTTACAGCTGTCAGAAATGAGTAGGAAGTGTAGAGGCCCCAGCTTTGAGTGACTTCAGCACATCTGCGGCCGCAGGACAGCACTAGTTTCTCACACTGCGCTGCTGTGATCTTGCTCCACTCTTCTTCCACATTTCAATAACTGTAGTGGGTTTCTTAGCCATAACTTTGTCGCCAAGGATTTTCCAGAGAATTTCAATCAGGTTTAGATCAGGACTCTGGGCCGGTTCTTAGCTTCAAGGAACTGCTTTACCCGTTTTGCTGTGTGACGGGGACATTGTCTTGCATGAAAATTGCAGGCTGATTGGGAGATGCTTGCAGGGAAGGAACTGCATGTTGCTGAAGCAGGTTCTGATAAACATTTGCATTCACTCTGCCATGTAGCTGTATAACAGGCCCAACTCCTGCTGCAGAAAACATCCCCCAAACCAAGACACTTCCTCCTCCACATTTCACTGACTTCCTTATGCACTTGTGGTTCAGTTTTTTCCACAGTTTGACACTGAATATAATGTTTCCCACTACACCCAAATAAATTATACTTGCTCTCATCACTAAAGTGAACTTTGGACCAGTTCTCCTCTCTCCACACAACATGCTCCTCAGCAAAGGTGAGCCTAACTTTTTGATTCTTTCTGCTGATGAGAGCTGTTCAGCACTGAACTGGCAAGCAATTCCAGCTGCAGTGCTGAACCGATTCCCCACTGAGAGTCTCCACATTGTCCTGTCTTCTCATTTGTCTTACGTGGACGACCAGCCTTTTTGGGGGACTTGAATAAGTGTTGTTGTAAAGCTGCAGTATTCTAGAAATCACAGATTTGGAATGACCAGCTTCTCTTGCAGTGGCTGAAAGGGTCATCGATTTAGCCTTCATCTGGACAAACTTCTGGCCCAGGGTTTCAGTCACCTTAGAGCGCCCCATCATTTTGCAATCTCAGTGAAAATGGGAGGAATGCTGCCAGTTAAATAGGGTTTGTCTCAATTCATTTACTGTTATACAAATCTTAATATATATATATATATATATATATATACATTTTTATAATTATTGCTTGTTTGGCTGAACATAAAAATATAAATATGATTTATGACATTACTTAAATGTAGCATACCTTGTCTCTGTAGTCCAAACGGGCCATAGTCTCTACCTTGTATAAAGCCTTGAAACAAGTATGTGTTTCCTTCATGGTCAGCAGAGACCTCGAGGAGAACAACAACACAGAGATGAACATCAAGTTCTCTCAAATTCTGAAAAGAGCAGATGTTCTGTGCAATGTTACAGGATATTGCTCTCTGAATACACGTTTTCTTCTACTGCAAAGTTTAAAAATAGCCAGAGATGTGTTTTTTGAACTAATACGACAGGGCACTATTGCACCTGAGAACAAATCTATGTTCTTTTACTACTTGGAGAACTAAAGTTTCCAGCTTAAACACAGTATATTCAACCCATCAAAATGATACAAAAATTGCACTGTTTTCTTTAGTAATAAGAACAAAACCTGGCAGTTGAACAAGACCATGAACCATGCAGCTTGTTGTTAGTTACTCTAAATCGCATTCTAGTCCACTTACAAAGCCGTCCATGATCAAGGTCTCCTCAGTGATCTTGCTGTAGGTGCTCTTCACCAGAGCTCTCATGTGATACAGCCGCAGCGTCAGACGAGCGTCTCGACTCTTGTAAACACCTGCGTTCAGACCACAAAACATTAAACATATCTTGTGTTGCATTCACTTCATTGAGTACACCTGCTCATTAATGCAAATGTACTGGGATTAAAATTTACAATAACAAAATTCAACTGATACGTGGTCACAGGTGTGTAAATATTGGCTACTTTAAAACAGCTTTGAATGCGGCTCGTCTAATTAGAAGTCTGAACTGTCTGCTTTATAATATTAGTTTCGCAGTTTTGTCTTTTACTTACAGCTCAAGTGTTTCATAACATGAAGATTTTGCATTGATGTCAGACTTATTTGTTTGTTATGAATAATCTAATATTTTGGTTTGTGTCCAGGTTCCAAATAAAAAGAGAAAACAAATTAAATGAGATGATTTATACATTTTTAATTCACTGAATCATCCAAAACAGTGATTACCACATGGTTATTAAATATATATAAACAGTTTTTTATGCATACATTTTTTTCCCAAGGATTGTGTAAGTAAGATTTTTGTTTTTTAAAGAAATCAATATTTTTATTCAGCAAGGACGCATAAAACTGATCAAATTGAAGTGGCAGTTAAGACATTTATAATGTCACAAAAGATTTCTATTTCAAATACATTCCGTTCTTTTGAACTTTCTATTTATCAAAGAATCCTAAAAAAAAGCATCTCAGTTTCCAAAAAAAAAAAAAAAAATTTTTTTCAACATTTAAAATAATATTAAATGTTTCTTGAGCAGCAAATCAGCATATTAGAATGATTTCTGAAGGATCATGTGACACTGAAGACTGGAGTAATGATGCTGAAAATTCAGCTTTGCATCACAAGAATGAATTATATTTTAATATATATTAAAATAAAAAACAGCTGTTTTAAATTGTAAAAATATTTCATTTTTTTCCCTGTTTTTACTGTATTTTTGATCAAATAAATGCAGCCTTGGTTGAGCATGAGAGACTTTCAAAAACATAAAAAATTCTTACCAACCTAGTGAAAAATAAATATACTAAAATGTGTTTGAAATACATTTATTTTATGCAAAGTATACTACAAATACATTTACATATTTATGCACTTAATAAAAATACCCTGCAATTGTACTTTTGGTATACAAAAATGGTATACTTAAAGTCTGCTAAATTGGAAGAACTAATCTTGTACTTAATGCACTTTAATTGTGCAGAAGTAGTGCTGAGGTCCAGATAAATATATACTGAAGTATATTTGATTGTGCTAAAGTGGAACTATTACAAGTATAGGTACATTTTAAATATCCTGCATTTAAAGACTGATATTATTCAAAGATCATACAATCCTCATCAATAGTGACATTAAAACACATTTTAGACTTAATATTAAGAAATGTGCATTGTGCACAAGTAGTTCTCCAATTAAAGTTCAATTATATTTTTTATATCAGTAAATCTCAAATGATATGTCAGGAAATATGTTAACAGATTTTAACTATACTTATAAATGTTTAACATATAACACATAACGTATATTTTAAATGTGTTACTTTTTTACTAGGGCAAACCCAAACTTTTGAACAGCTGTCAGTACGATGATGGTGTACTTCAAAAAGTTTTGGTTATACTACTCTTTTTTAAATGCATATTTACTCTTCAATATACTTGTGAATATAGTGGCTCTTGCAGTCTTTAAAGAGGACATCGGATGCCCATTTTTCACAAGCTGGTATGATTCTTCATGAAATGTCTGTAACATACTTTGGTTAAAATTCCTCAATGGAAACTGTTCACAGCGACCTGTTTCGGTGCATGTCTCTTTAAATGATAATGAGCTACTGGTTCACCCCACCCCTCTCTTCCATGGAGCATGTCGACAAGATGCATGGATTGCTGCCTTGGACACTGTATATGGCTCGGAGGTGGTCTTATTCAAATAGCTAGGTATCTATGTAGAAAATGGCTGCAGATTGAAACGGCTGGCTGGATGACACAGTTTCAGACTCAAACAGCCCACAACAAACTGACTGCGTGTTTTCTTTTCAGCTTCTCTGAGCTGGCAAACACGCCAGAAATCTAACTGAATACAAAAAAAAAAAAATGCTAAAAAAGTGAAAATTTCATCCGATGTCCCCTTTAAGAAAAACTGAGTACTAAAGGCACATCTTGTATAAACAGTAATTGACATTTTTTCCCAAAACTCCTGACATGAGCTGTTCTGTCTAACAGGTGAGCTTACACAGAGCAGAGGTTTGCTTACAGCAGGTCAATGCACTGCTAGAAGTGTTTATGACATGAGCTGTACTGTGCGGCGCTGCCATTATGGCTTCTTACCTGACAACAGCAGTTCTGAGTGCCTGTTAGTTAAAGTCACATTGACTTTCCCCGTAGTCGCGTTAAAGCTAGTGATTGTCAAAGTCATCGGCTGTTTCACTCCTTTATACTCAAACGAACCTTTCCACACGTACATGGGCGCGAACACGTCGTCAGGAACTGCAACGAGAAGATTTAATGTGGCAGAAGAGGTTAAGAAGCCATTTACACTATGCGTTAGGTGCAATTAAAACCTCGAACTCTTTTCGGAGGATCTGACTGTGAATGACCTCAGAGCAGAAATGATAGCGAGCTCATTCTCTACTTTAACAGCGACATCAACAATGTTAATAAAGCAATATGCTGTACTAGAGACTCTAAAACTGTGATCCAAGTTGTAAAAAACTTGCTACATAAAGTTACTTCATACTGTAATCATACTTGCTACAGTTAAATAATGAACTATATTATATAAGAATTAACAACAACAATATATGTGGATTTATAAATATATAATCAGATTTGTGTAATCATTTCATGTTTAGCATAATAAATATAATTTTGAAATTATTAAATGTAGTATACATTGTCTCTGTAGTGCAAATGGAAATAGTCTCTCCCTTGCATATGGAATTAGGTGATGTTTAAAGTTTTAATCCAATAGATGATTACCACCCAGTTATTATATATATATATACATATACTGTATATATATATATATATATATATATACACATACATATATTGTGATTACCATGACATAAAATCATTCATACTGCGATCTGATAAATATGTATGTATTAATTAATGATCATATCACTCAGTTATTAAATATATACTTAATTTTTTGCTGACTTTCCAGTAAAAATAACTATTGTTATACCTTTACCATGATTTAAAATCACTCATACTGTGATCTGATAAATATTTATTCATGGTCATATTTTGTTTATTATTGTTGTTTCAGTTTTATAAAAGCAGTCAGCCACATGTGATTGTATGTTGCAGTGATTTTGTTATGCATTATGCCTAAGAACATCATTTATCAGTGGTAAAAAAAAAATGTTAGTCATGATGCAAAGCTCCCTTAATCCTATAAATGTATAAAAATCACCACAATTCACTGGCCTAACTATAGGCTGTTTACAGTTACTGCATTCATATAGAACTGAACTGATGCGTGTACATCACCTAGTTTACAATAACTTCAAATGTTAATTTTATATAATTTTATAAAAATAAGTGAAAGGTGTTGTACGTGTTTTTCTATCTGTCCTTCAATCAAACTAATGACAGTAAACCCAAAATGATTGACAGGCAGAGAATGCTTCTGATTGGCACACATTATTCCCAAACAAACTGCTTTTCTTTAAAAGGATAGTTCACCCAGAAATGAACATTTTGTCATCATTTACTCACAATCCACTTGTTCTAAACCTGTATGTAAGAAGATATTTTGAAGAATGCTGTTAACCAAACAGTTGACAGTCCCTGACTTTCATAGTATTTTTTTCCCCATACGATGGAAGTCAATGGCTACCATCAACTGTTTGGCTACACACATTCTTCAAAATGTCTTCTTTTGTGCTCAACAGCTGAAAGAAATTCATACAGGTTTAAAACAACCGATTGAAATGATGGTTGAAATTATAACAGACATTTTGAGTAAACTATCCCTTTAATACACAATAATGGAAATAGACATGTGCAAGCAGTGATTATTATTCATTTTACATTATTTTTACAGCATTGTGAGACTCACCGTTGACTCTGGGACTCAATGTTCCTTGAACAGACGTTATGACTTTTTCAGTTGTCTTCGAGCCAGCTGAAAGAAAAATGCATATCACTGCAACAACGAGTCACTGCATCTGAAATGGGTTTAAGAAAATCATTTCACACACGACTTCCCACATCATGCAAAGGAAACGGCATCAGTCGGTTTCTGCCTCGACAAGACAAAAGAAACGGAAGAAAAGTTGCAGGCCACAAAGTTCAGGCGGAAAACACACATCTGAATTCTGCACTGTGTGCTGTATTGATGGTGTGTTGGACTGCTTACATCTACAAACGGGCACTTTCCCAGTCCAGGATCCATCCGGCCGGCACGCGCGGTGCTCCGAGCCCCCGGTGAGTATGAAACCAGGCTGGCAGGAATAGAGCAGCGTGTAGCCAAATGAGGGCAGGTCCATGCCCAGCACGTTGGCATGCGGCGGGGTCTTTGGTTGCTTACAGGAGTGGGCTGCATTAGGAGATATGTCAAGCAGTAAGCTCTAATGTTCTGATGCATGGGGAAATCTCATAAAAAACGTATCCACTTCATTTTTCATCCCAAAAAGGAAAAAAAAATCAAATATACTATAGCAAGTACTGTAATACAGTTTTTTTTCTATAATTATATTCATTTTTAAACATTTTAAATTAAACAATTTAATATATTTTTAAATATATTATTATTAAATATGTTATTATATACAATAAAATAAATACATAAATAATATGTTATAATGTTTAGAATAATTAATAATTAAAAAAAAAAAAGATAAATAAATTTTTTTTTCATTTGTATACTAATTAGGTTTTTTTCTGTTTTGTTTTTAGAAAAAAAAAACATTTTCAAATTTTTAGGATGATTAGACAAAATTTATACAAATATACATATATATATATATAATGAATATTGTGATACTATTGTGATAATGTAATATAATGTATGCATTACAATAATTAGAATAATTAATACAAATCAGAATTAGTTCATAATAGGCTTAAAAAATTGGCTTAAAATTAATTAAGCAGAATACAGAATACAATAGATTTTTGGAAGAAATATGACAGACAAGTTTTGTGAGACTCACACAGTAACACTTACTAGAGCTGCTCATAATAAATGCAACAGAGCTTGTCCACTCACGTGATGTACTGCAATGTCTGGTAAAGCAATATTTTTCATTTTCACATGGAATGACATGAATATGGAAAAAGAAGACTCCTGGAGGGTGAAATCAAAGTTGTACCGTGACATGCACAATGGATGACTTGCCAAGAAAACAAAATAACAGACATCTGGAAAAGATGAAGTACAATGCACACACACTCACACAAATAAAAAACAAACAAAAAAACAACAAAAAAAGTCCAAGTAGGCGTCTGTTGTGGAGGTTAAGCGAGAGGGACTCACGGACACATTCTGGCTGAGTGCCACTCCAGGTCAAATCTTGCTGGCATGTCCGTGTGGTGGAGCCCAGTATCAAGTGGCCCGTCTGACAGTGGAACTTCACTGTGCTGCCCACCTGAGGCACAGAGATAAGCCTGTCAGAGCTCCCACACATTTAAAACAAACACACACACACACACACACACACACACACACTGCTCTAAACTCTAAATCTCTGCTCTCACTCAAACACACTGCTGCTGAAAATATAATAGATATCAGGACTGTTCAAGATTCAGGATTTAAGAATCGTCTCCTGTTCAACTCATACAGTAAACATGATGACGATGTGATGAGTTTGAACTGAACTACAGTAGTAAAGGTAAAGACCATAAGATTAGGAGTAAGTAGGCTAATAATTCCAGATATAATGGCTACAGAAAAATAGCCACTTTTTATTAAAATCAGCTAAAAAGAAAAGTCAGCACCATTCAAAATTTGGGGTCAGTAAGATATTTATTACTCAAACACACTGCTGCTGAAAATATAATAGATATCAGGACTGTTCAAGATTCAGGATTTAAGAATCGTCTCCTGTTCAACTCATACAGTAAACATGATGACGATGTGATGAGTTTGAACTGAACTACAGTAGTAAAGGTAAAGACCATAAGATTAGGAGTAAGTAGGCTAATAATTCCAGATATAATGGCTACAGAATAATAGCCACTTTTTATTAAAATCAGCTAAAAAGAAAAGTCAGCACCATTCAAAAATTTGGGGTCAGTAAGATATTTATTTATTTATTATACTTATTTATATAACAAAGACTCTTATCCTCAACAAGGCTGCATTTATTCGATCAAAAATACAATAAAACAGCAGCATTGTGAAATATTATTACCATTTAAAATATTTGAAAATATGTTTAAATGTAATTTATTCCTGTGATGCAAAGCTGAATCAGTGTCACATGATCCTTCAGAAATCATTCTAATATTTTTTTTGAAAAACGTGATACATTTTATTTAAGGATTCTTTGATGAACAGAAATTTCATTAGAACATGATTTATTTGAAATAGAAATATTTTGTAACATTATAAAAATTACTGTCACTTTTAATTAATTTAATGCATCCTTGCGGAATAAAATTATAAATTTATTTAAAAAAAAAAAACTTACTGACCCCAAACTTTTAAATGAGTGCATTTAATATAATAAAATATAATATAATATAATAGAACATCATAGTATATAACAGAATATAAAAAATAATAGAATAATTGCCTTGAATATATTTATTAAAAGACAAACAAACAAATAATTAAATAGAGAACTAAAAGTATAATATATATATATATATATATATATATATATAATAATTAAAATAAATTACTAACACTGCCAACCAATAATCAACTAATACTAATTTTACTAAGTGTGTTTTTAAGCACATTCTGCATTCTGTTTTGAAGCTCAATTCAAATTAAAGAATTAAATAACAAATCAAAAAGCATTCTCTCATTTCAGTTCTGAATGCCGCACACTCTCCTCACATTTACTATACCTGAGGACCCGTATATACTCTAGTCTTACTTATTTCAGTTTTTTTTTAATTTTTTTTATGTGTTGCAAGGAAAAGCAGCCTTCATGTGAAGGAAGTCCTGTATAAACAGCAGAGATAATTCTCAGAGTTATAGTCGAACATGCAAATGTTGAGGAGGGGAAGCGGAGTCTGTGAGTCCTGCTGAGATGAAAGGCTCACAACACTGGAACATGAGATTTCATTACACCACACACTTCTAAAGGAATCGGTGACAACAGCAGCCTGACTGACACAAACAAGACGCGGAGAGCTCTGTGTTCACAGAGAGCCAGCCGAGAGTACCAGCTTTTATTTTGCCCTTCAAAGAGCTCATTCCTCAAGGCGTGAGTGATCCAAAGCAAACTCAGCAGCCAAACGCTTTTCATATTAGACCTGTCGAACACAGATGCTGGCGGTAACGGCCGTCTTTTTGAGATTATTGCCATTGGCAGTGCATGACTGACGGCTCCAAAATCTATTCCATAATTTTGGCAATGGATAATGCATATTTGTTGTTGTCATTCATATTTTGTATTAATATTGTGTACAATTACCATCCAATTGATTTCAGCGATTTTATTTTATTTGTTAAAATTAAGATCAGAAACCTACTCTATGCAAATATACAATAAATATGATAGATATAAATATGGTGACAGTTTAAATAACTTTCAATAACTTGCTAAGCAATCCATTCAATGTCCCTTTTTACCTCCATGGGAAAATACCTGGACTTCTGCAATGCATCTAAAACTTCTGCAATGCATCTAAAACAATGTTTTGAAGAATGTCACTATAATAATAATAATAATAATGAAAATAATTTGTGCTATTTCCATAAGAAATTCTGGTAATGCTATTTTGTGGATAAAATAAAATAGAAGAAATTGATAAATTGATAATAGTTTCACAATGTTTTGTGACTGTAATGAAAAAATATTTTTTTTTAGCAACAGTTGTGTTAGCAACAAGTACAGAGAATGTTTGTGGTTGTAATAAAATAAAGCAAAATAAATTTAAATAAAATAAAATAATAAAACAAAGCAAAGTAAAATGAAATAAAATTAAATACAATACAAATTTTAGCATCACTTGTGCCAGTACTGAGAATGTTTTGTAACAAAACAAAAAACAAAACAAAACAAAACAAAACAAAAAAAACAAAACAAAAAACAAAATAAGCAACACTTGTGCCAGTGCAGATACTTTTTTGTGGTTGAAATAAAATATTTTTTCAATTAATTATAATTTTTTTAACCAACATTCATGCCAATACAAAGTATTGAATTCTCATACATGTTGGTCACTCCGCTGTCTTGATATCAGCATTGGTTATTGAAAAATCCAATTGAGTCGACCAATTCTACCGCTGATCTGATATTATGGTGGGCAAAGTTGGCAATGGATGTCATATTAAATGCCCAATTCATTTTTCATTTCTCTTGCCCCTCTGAGGAAGAAACAGTGGAGTCTGAAGAGGCATTAAAGCACCGGCAGAGGCGTTCGGGCAGATATAGCGAGTGTTTGAAGAGTAAACTCTCCCCAGATAATAAGAGCTGATGGCGGGGACAGTCGCACATCCTGAAACTGCCACGGGCGCTTCAAACAGCATTTGACTGAATCAACTTGACAATAAATCAATTGTGCTTATAAAGACAGTACCTCGCCAGAGACCCGCGTTGACACGTACTCAAATGAAGGGTCTCTCTGAAACGTCTCTCTGATGTGGCATTAACGCCTTCGGATCATACTGTCACTGGGCGAGCGTATCTCCTTTTGTCTCAGCAATGACGGAAAATATGATTTTCAATTCTTAATAAGCACATCAAAAGTCCCATTGTGCCATTTGAAAAGGCCGTTTTTGCACTTGAAGATAAAAGTGGGCTACAACTGACAGAAATGGGCCTTTTGAACTGCCTTATACTTATTCTCCACATAATGGCTTTGATACGAGAGTTCTAGATAGTCCGAGAGCATCACTCGCAGCTCAATTCCTTCTTACCTTAAAGCCCAGACTGCTGTTCAGAGAGCCGTACTCCAGAGTACCTGGATTTTCGCACGTCGTCCGAGTCGGTTCTGCGGTAAAAGCAGAATGACACCATCATTATCAGCTCCTCCATTGTTATCTTTATAACTGGATTAGGAAAAGCAGACTCAGTCACTGATGTAATGGCAGTGACCCGTAGTAGCAGGTCATAATGTTCACATTTTCATCGTAGATCAAATCTGGAGTGGATATTATGGTCATTACTGGTTTGGCAGTGTTCGCTGATGAGGTTAAAATATTTTTTTGAGAACAGAAGATGGTGTACCTATGCAGCGCGGCTGCGTCCCGCTCCACGTGCCGTCTGCTTGACAGGTGCGTGTCGAGGAGCCCACCAGCACATAGGGGGCACTGCAGCTGTACGTGACCTCAGCTTTGAAGATGAAGCTCTGACCTTCTCGTCTGACGCGCGGAGGTAACCCGGGGTCACCGCAGAACTTGGCTGTAAAGGTAGTTCACGTGAAATTTGCCATTAGCAGCCCATTTGATTTACATACATCGACTTTTCTGAGTGAAATATGTTATTTAATTAGAGAAAAGGTTGATTTTATTAACTGGAATCTCACTGCAAATGTTTTAGTTGTCTCTACCAGGGTTATTATTGCTTACTTTAAAACTCATTCTTTTAAATTGAAATAAAATAAAATAATAAAATATAATATAATAAAAAAATCTAAATAAAACATTCAATGAAAACTTGAAACTAAATGAAAATGTGAAAATGAGAAAAAATGAAAATACATTTATGCTAAATAAAATAAAAATGAAAATATTAGATTAAATATGTAAACTAAATAAAAATGAGAAATGTTGCCTTGGCAACTAACTAAAATAAGTTTAAGTTGAAGCACTCACTGCAAATGTTCTAGTTGTCTCTACTATAACCTAAACTAAATAAAAAAAATTTGTAAAATAAAATAAAATACTTCTGCCAGTATTGAGAATGTTTTGCAAAATAAAAATAAAATATTATTTTTGCCATAAAAATGTTGTGATCATAATAAAATAAAAATTAAATAAACTTTTTTTAAGCAACACTTATGTTAGCAACCAGTACTGATGATGTTTTGTAATAAAATAAAATAAAATAAAATAAAATAAAATAAAATTTTAAATGTTTAAAATGTTTTAAATGTTTTAAATAAAATGTTGCAAATTTGAGCAACACTTGTGCCAGGAAACATGATCAATATTGATTTAATTTTAACTTTAATAAGCCATTTTTTATTAAATGCATCTAACAAGCATTTGATAACCAGGATTCTGTTTCTGATTATTTCTTCTCACTAAATGTTTTGCTCACTAAATAACCTTGCTTTCTGAATGATTTATCTGCGAGTAACCCGACCTGAGCCTCAAAACAAACAAAAAAATACATGCTGGTTCGAATTCAGCACACAGTCAATTATTAACCAGGCAGGTCTTAAGTTCTGGAGGAAATCTCTGCGTATGATTTGAAAAACATTTTGAGCTCAAAAGCATTTCCCAGTGCATTTTCTTGTACATACACACCCATACATACACATGGCACTTTCATTATTCAGCTGCAATACACTATAAATCGAATGTAAACAGCTAGACAGTAATTGGCAGACTTCAGTTTCACCATACAAAACAACGGAAAACAGCTTTGAGAGCGCATAAGACTGACAGACCCAAAATTAAACCTATTTCCACAGTTGATATGTCATGATTTCAGCAGGGCAAAAGCGTTTGACATATAAATTGCAGCAAAGCTCTGCAGGCTATATGGTATTTAAAGATCAGAAGTCGAGAGGCGAATTTTCGTGCCCCACGAGTGCAGAGGTTGGCTCACCTGAATGTAAATCGGAGTAATTATCCCTCTTTAAAAATGAAGCTGAAGGCCGAAGGGGGCACGGTGGCTGACGCTCTGTGATGAATAATTCACAGGGTGGGATGAGAAAGCCTGAGCCCACCGGCTCTGAGTGTGGCCACATGGACTCTGTCCACCGCAGCTGAGCGCTTAATCAAATGCAGCAGATTGCATTACACAGCATCTGTAAGGCGACGTTTAATGCACGTCAACTCCGATGGCCGTCAGCTGCCGGTGCGGTTAAACGGCTCTAAAGCAGTTTTAAATGGCAGATCAGTCAGTCTGTGGCCGCGGGGATCAGGCTTTCTTGGCAGTGCTTTGACACAAAGTCTTTGCAGGCTGCTGTGATAAAACAAGATCGCCCTGTAGCATTTTCCACAAGATACCTGAAGGAGAACTAGCAAGGTATCTGCCCTTCACAAGCGTTATCCACATCCAAATACGTGATTTTGATCATTAATACTCACTTATTTCCAAATACAGTGAGTTTTTGGACACTAGTTACACTTAAAAATGTCTGCATGTCATTGCATTATTGAGAATGTTTTTTGTATTTTTTCGCAATGAAATTAAATACAAATGAAATTAAATAAAATAATAAATCTAAGTACAACAAACAAACCAATCAATTAATAATACTCAACTCAACATTATTTCTAAAGCACTTTCAAAACCACAGAGCAGACCAAAGTGCTGTACAAAAGGAGATAAAAGATAAATGAACATAAAATCAATAAAAACAAAAACTTATTCCAGTACTGAGATTCTTTTGTGTTTGTAATAAAATAAAGCAAAATGAAGTAAAAATAAATAAATAAATAAATAAAAATAAAAAATACTGTCAAAATAAAATATAATTTTAGCAACCAGTACTGAGAATGTTTTGTGTTTGTTATAAATTTGTTATATTGTTATAAAATAATAAAAATAAAAATAAATAAAATAAAAATAAATTTTAAAAATAGTAACATTTGAGCCAGTACTGAGAATGTAATAAAACAGAGATAAAATAAAAATAAAAATAAAAATTAAATTAAATTAAATTAAATTAAATTAAATTAAATTAAATTAAATTAAATTAAATTAAATTAAATTAAATTAAATTAAATTAAATTAAATTTAAAAATAAAAATAAAAATTAAAATTAAATTAAATTAAATTAAATTAAATTAAATTAAATTAAATTAAATTAAAATCTTTGAGCAACACCAATACTGAGTATATTTTGTGTTGAAATTGACGGTATCATACACATCTGTCAATCTGCTGTCTTGATATAAGCATTGGTTATTAAAAAATGCAATTCAGCTGCCGATCTGTTATTATGGGGGACAAAGTTGGCAATGGATATCATACATAATAAAATATCAAAGCAAATAAGATTTATTTTAAAGAAAAATATAACAAACACACTTAACACACATGCATACTGATTTAATGCATTTTGTACTTTGTGACCAGGTGTATTCTTTGCATAAGTGTGACAGGCCAGTGATGGATAACGATGCAAATATGCACAACACATAAACACTTACTAGCATTATATATTCCACATGCAACGGCAGGTCTCACAGGCCAAATGTGGCACCGCGACAATAGAATCTGTGATGTTTTTACAGTGCACGCAGACCATTCTCATCTGACTGCTGGATTTTTTCTTTCTTTCACAGAATACAATTATTTCAACAGCTCTAGGCTAGAGCAAGTTATGCATAATAATCAGAACTGGAGAACCCAGTCAGGACCCGTGTCAGAAAAAAAGTTCCTTGATGAATAATACAATGCTTTGGAGAAGCAACAAACAGCACACGACAAAAAGCAAATCTGAATTTCACAATGCAGCTCGGTGCAGATGGGCAAACGTACGTCGCTGCACTGGTATTCACAGTGTGCTAACCATGTTAACCTGATTAAATATAGCCATTGATACTTCTGATGAGCAGATTCCATGCTTTAATATTCAGCACTTTCCATGAATACAGTACACTTTGGTGTTACAACATTTATTGTTATGCATTAGAGATGCAAATACAACATTCTTTGGTTACTGTTACATACTGTACGTAAGATAAAGTACAAAATTAACCAAGCACAAGTATTTTGGGAAGACTTTTTACTTAAAGTTTACCAAAAAAAAAAACAAACAAAAAAACTTGCATTTGCATATTATGCCAGTCAAAAGATTAGAATCTTTTGAATATTTTTTTGAAAGATTTTTCTCTTATGCTGACCAAAGTTACATTTATTTGATCAAAAAACAAAAAACTAAACAAAACAGTAATATTGTGAAATATTTTTATAATTTCAAATAAATGTTTTCTATTTGAATATATTTTAATTTGTTATTATATAAAATAATTGTACATAATTAAATAACTGTATAAAATGTAAATAAATGAATACAAAAAATCTAACAAATATTTTCTGTAATTTAAGGAATACGTTTATGAATACGTACAAACCAACATTTGGTCACTAAATAATAATAACAATAATAAGTAAAAAAAAAAAAAAAATGCATGTAAATATTTATAAATAATAAAATAAATGTTTAAATAAATAAATAACACAAATCAGGGTTTTAAATTTGTCCCAAAAATTATAAGCTCTTAATTAAAATGAATAATATCAATAATATCTAATATTTACTTTGACCACCTAACTAAATAAAATAATAGTAAAATGTCTAAGGCAGAAAAACACACACACACACACACACACAGGTTTGTTTCTGTGAAAAGTGGGGACTCTCCATAGGCGTAATGGTTTTTCTACTGTACAGGCCGTATATTCTATTGCCCTACACCAACCCTACACCTAAACCTACCCCTTACAGGAAACTTTGTGCTATTTCAGATTTTCAATACACTCCATTCTGTGTGATTTATATGCGTTTTGAAAAGTGGGGACATGGGGTAATGTCCTGAAAAGTCACCTTCTCCTTGTAATACCTATGTCATACCCTTGTCATTATACAAATTTATGTCCTCATTTGTCACAAAAACACACACACACACACACACACACACACACACACAAATTATAAGCCCTTAAAATAAATATTTACTTTGACCACCTTAGATCAATTACCAACATTCTGTACCTCGTTTCACTAATCATTTATTGAACACTAAGAAAAAAACAGTTTCAGTTCTTATTTTATACCCTATTCATGGAAATTGCCACGCGGTGTTGAGCTGGATCTACGAGATGAGGCTTTAATTTCTGAGCTGCCATTTGTCTATGATCTGTGTGCTTCGAAGCGTGCATTAGCACAGCTCTAATCTTGTAGTGCTGGGAGAGTCCTGAAAGAATGAATTACGATTTATGCCTTATTAGCACTAAAAAGTGACAATCTCGAATTTCTACCACCTTATCTACGGCCTGTGCACAGGGCACGTTTCAACACCGTCTTAAAGGTTGCTGCTGACTGGCAAACGCAGACACGGTATTGTATGGGAACGAAACACACCAGTTTAGAGGGGACCCAGCTGGAAAAACATTACTGTCTGACAAAGAATTCATTCATGAGAAAAATCCTGCCTTCCAAAGTACATTTGGAAAGTTTGTGGCTGTTAATGAGGAAGAAATTAATGAGTTGTTTACTTTAAAATAGCATGTTTGCTAGAATTCAACCAAAACTTTATAAAACTGGGATTTAAGCAAGAGCCTTGTGCTGCATGCCATTTATTGTTTCTCTCCATTGTGAATGTAATGAAAGCATCAGTGTATGGATATCTGCCATCTGAATGGTGAGAAATGCCATGAAGTCGTCAGAAAATTTAATGCTAATTACACTCTCCCCCAGCTGACACTGTTCTGTTCAGGAGGAGATTGCTTTTCTTTATGGATCATAGAGGATTGTTGGTTATGGATGATGAAAGCAAGCCTGTTTACATTTATGAACGACAGGATTGTGCAAAAAGCTCTCACAAATAAAAGCTGATAAGCGTGCTGGTATCAGAGTTATTCAGCGTGTACCTTTGTGCTGGTAAAATGCTTCTTTTCATCTCATTTCATACCTCATTTGCATCTGACTTGCAAAATTGTTGAACAACATTCAAAATATTTCAGATTCTTGACTCTTGCCAATTCCCACTGCAAATGAGTTTTATACAAATATAGTTTTAGACATATGTGTATCAGCTATGTACACACACACACACGTCTGGTTTGCTATCCTTGTGGGGACTCTCCATAGGCGCGTAATGGTTTTTCTACTGTACAGACCGTATTTTCTATTGCCCTAGGATTGTGCAAAAAGCTCTCACAAATAAAAGCTGATAAGCGTGCTGGTATCAGAGTTATTCAGCGTGTACCTTTGTGCTGGTAAAATGCTTCTTTTCATCTCATTTCATACCTCATTTGCATCTGACTTGCAAAATTGTTGAACAACATTCAAAATATTTCAGATTCTTGACTCTTGCCAATTCCCACTGCAAATGAGTTTTATACAAATATAGTTTTAGACATATGTCTATCAGCTATGTACACACACACACACGTCTGGTTTGCTATCCTTGTGGGGACTCTCCATAGGCGTAATGGTTTTTCTACTGTACAGACCGTATTTTCTATTGCCCTTCACCAACCCTACCCCTAAACCTCCCCCTCTCACAGGAAACTTTGTGCATTTTTAGATTTTCAAAAAACTTAATTCTGTGTGATTTATTAGCTTGTTTACCCATGGGGACCTCAATTTAGGTCCCCACCGTGACATGAGTCCCCATGAGTCTGTGTGTATTCAGGTTTAAGTCCCCACCAGAATAGAAAAACAGGTACACACACACACACACACACACACACTATTACTATAATATTAGAGGTTAAAATAAACAACAGAGCTGACAAGATTGACATTATTTGAGAGCTGAGACTTTGTTTCCTATCAGAAGTAACAAAGGGCAAAGCTCTTTGTGATTATTGGATAGGATGCGAGCTACAAATAATGTTAAAGGGGTCATATGATGCGATTTCAAGTTTTCCTTTCTCTTTGGAGTGTTACAAGCTGATTGTGCATAGATAAGATCCCTGAAGTTGCAAAGACTAAAGTCTCAAAACCAAAGAGACTTGTCTGAAGGAGGGACTTTGTAGAAAACGAAGCTTTTGAGAGATGCGGGGCATAGAGGACCTACAATAATGTACAGTATTTGAAAAATAATGTGCTTTTTGAACATTAAAGCATGTCAACATATTCTGTTACACCAAGTACACAAAATAATGATCTTTAAAAAAGCATCATATGACCCCTTTAAGTGTAGGAAAACCATGGACCTGGCAACCCTGAACTACAGGTCAAAGAGAAACTATGTCAAGTGCACTATTTTTTTGTGTGAATTACATTGTTAATACATTACTATTGTGTTAACTTTGACAGTCCTATATTGAGACATTTGAGGTCTGACACTTTTTTACGTGCCCTTTTTCATGACAGGATATATGTGCGTGTAAAAATCCACCAGAAATAGTAACGCATGTTTGTCATTCATAGAACTACTTCATTTGACATACTACAATTTGGAATGCACTTGTCTTACTTTTTTAGGATGAATGGTAGATGAAATGGGACTGTGCATTTTCACTTCATCAGCATTTGCATCTATTTCATATGCATCATAATATCTGGATATATATTTATGTGACAGCTCTCTGTTCTCGCTCATAATATCAAGATCTTGCTGCTTCATGTAAAGATGCTGTAAGCGAAAAGTTTTTGCATCAGTTTGCATAATATGTCCCTATCACCTGACAGATATCACTGAAATAGGTGTCTTGAGAAATCACACCCGTCTCTCTGTGACAGACCTAGACTCCGTAAACAGCTAAAAAATTGTCAAGGGAGTGACTCATGCTTTTTAAGCAGTCAGAACACTAGCCAATCAGAATCGAGAAATCACACCCGTCTCTCTGTGACAGACCTAGACTCCGTAAACAGCTAAAAAATTGTCAAGAGAGTGACTCATGCTTTCAGAACACTAGCCAATCAGAATCGCTCTCTGCACGTTCTGGTTTGCTGACATCAGGTTGGCTAAAATGACTTTGGAGGGCAGAGATTTGGAAAGAGGGAGTATGACTGAAGTTAACAAAACTGCTGAAATCACCTATAGCACATTTGAATGAATATAATCAAAATTGAAAACTAAAACCAAGCATTTTTTATTTTTATGCACTATACCAGTTTCTCACAGGACAACTGAGAATTTAAGTGTGAAACTATTTTTGAAATATAGTACTCAAACAAATTTTGAACATCTAGAGTTTTTACTTTGGTTCTATACAAGGAAAAGTCTATAAAAAAATCACAAAAAGCACCTATAAAAGTAGTAAATATTACTTGTGCACTATATTTCAAATCTTCTCAAGTCATACAATAGCTTGACATATATCTGGTATTAGTAGCAGAAACTGATTCAAATACAGAATAAACATAAGCCTCTCTGTTAATATATTGCACTATATTGTAGTAAAATTCAAAGTTTACCATGCATGACCTTGGAAATAAGCTTCGTGTTTTTAAGTCCGTATGGCATCAGTGCTATTTCTCTGAATAAGTTACGAGGCATGTATTTTATTTCCTGACTGAACAACATCTATTTCAAACTCTTCAAGTCGGTGCACATTCTATTTTACTAGAATTACAGTTTACATAGGAGTTAAATATTATATGTATATGTTGTTGAACTAATTATTAATTTAACCAATGTTTAAATAATTAACCGCTTCAAAATGCATCCTGTTAACAAAAATACTGTTAAAACATTTGCAGTTTGCCTCTTCCTCACATTAACTGTCATATGACTTCAGAAGACGTCAAATTAAACGTCCAAGTTGTATGGACCACTTCAACGATGCTTTTAGTGTTCTGTTCTCTTTGAAGCTTAACAGAATAAATCAAAAACCGCCTTTACTGCATGGATAAGAGGAGCCCAGATAAGAGAAAGAAAGGTTTAGAACATAATTGTCATTTTATGGGGGTCTATTGCTTTCAGGTAAAAGCATCAGGATACTCACGTAGGCACAGAGGAACCTCTCCGCTCCAGGAGCCGTTGCCGACACATGTGAGGACGGCGGGGAAGGACAGTTCGTATCCCATCAGGCAGCGGTAGCTCACGCTGGTGCCCCACTCGAACACAGAGCCCTCCACCTCACCGTTAGACACGCTAGGCGGAGGAGCGCAGGTCACCCCTGGAAGAGACAAACACATGGAGAGAGATCAGAATTCATTAAGAATGCATGAAAGCACAGCAACAGTGTCATTCATATGCATGTGCTGCCGGTGTTGTTTCACAAGTCGAGTCAATAAAGGAATTATGCAAATTAGGTAATGCCACAAATGCGGTCGCAAAATTGAGGTTGTTTGGTCAATCTGATCTAGATTTGAGATTTTTAAAAATTTTTTTTTTTTAAGGCCTGTTATGCTCACCAAGGCTGCATTTATTTGATTAAAAAAACAGAAATATTGTGAAATATTATTACAATTTCAAATAACTGTTTTCTATGTGAATATATTTTAGCATGTAATTTATTTCTGTGACGCAAAGCATCATTACTCCAGTCTTCAGTGTCACATGATCCTTCAGAAATCATTCTAATATGCCGATTTGCTGCTCAATAAACATTTATTATTAGTATCAATGTTGAAAACAGTTGTGCTGCTTCATATTGTTGTGGAAAACGTGATACATTTTTTTTTTCAGGATTCTTTGAACATTTTGACCATTGCTGCCCTTGCCACACTCTAGACAACATTAAGCAGTCTATTATAGACCTTTTGAGCAAAATTTAAAATAGTAAAACAAGTATGAAACACAAAACAACTTATGAAACAGCAACGATGTAAAAAGAAACATTCAATGTATCCAACCGAATCTTGGTCCAACCTAATAGTCTTGTACTGAGAAATCTAAAATCAACCTTTATTCTATAGCTAACTACAGCCAGAATGTGTGCTAATGTGGTTTCATTTGTTGTTTACTTGTCTATCCAACAGATATTACAAAAAAATGATATATTAAAAAAAAATGATATTCACAAACATGCCCTCATTTAAGACGGTTTCCCTAGGCGTTTCTAACTAAAACACAAAAACACCAGACGAAACACACATTTCCACTGAGCACAAGACAGTAATAAATTAACTTAATAAATGTTAATCTAATAAATACTGCACAAAAACAACATCATATTTCATATGCAGGTCACTCAAGCACACATTCATCATGGTGTCTACATTCAGACTCCGTTGTTTCATTTGTTCCCAATGAGCAGGAATTTGATTCATTCATATTCACTTCATTAAACCGGCAAATGTAATACCCCCATGTAATAAATTAACATGATGTTTGGATTTTAAAACATTTGAATGTCTATCAAACACTTGAGAGTTCAAATAAATGTTCATTTTGAATCGTCCCACAGTGTTAGTACTTAGTTGCTAGCTGTCCCACATCACACACACAAACGATCTGACTACTATTAAAACACTGCAAACTTAATCAAATTCACCATTCACTTTTCATGTCCCGACACATCACAGAAGGAAAAAGCCAACCAAACTTCCTCGTGTAGTGTCAGTGTCAGGCGATATTGAATCCTGATCTGTATTTTGAGGCTTTACTGCCCTCTGGCCAAGCTTTAATATTTTGTAGACTGTCTTGAAAGCCTATCGCTGAAGAAAGGAAGGGTTTTTTTCTCTAGTTTTTCTACCGTGAAGGACTATGTTCCACTTCAAAATCATATAATAAAGCACAAACACTATATTCAATACATCACTGACGATCACTCCAGTGCCTTCAAGTGTTATTTACAAAGGGTGACTAAAACACAAGGTTTTTACAGCACTTTCGCTTGTTTTCAAGGTGTTAAGAGGTCTGGAAGAGGCTGGTTAAACACAACATTAGCTGGAAACTGTAGCGCAGGCATCACCTCAGGGCTGGGAATCATCTTTTGCAACCTGCTTTCATCTCAGCAACTGTTGCATCATCTTTATGTGAACTTTCAGGGCAGACTTCGCTGCCGTTTTGTATATGGATCGAGTGTTAAATCCATGCACATGTTTATTTACAAATACCCGTTACTGAACATACTAGGACTTCCTGCACTGGCGAAATCAACAGAAGTCAGCAAACGTCTGCAGGGCCAATCAAAAGATGTTTTAAATTGCAAATCTCAAATCGAAAAAAGGACGCGGAGGGAGCATATGGAAAACTCGTGAGCTGATATTCTGACAGTGTTGCAGAGCAGTCGGTGGGGAGCAGCTGGGGTTTGGACGGTGTATGAATAAATGATGAGATGTTTTGGAAAGCAAGTGCCCCAATAAAACCTCTAAAAAAGATGTGCGGGAGTCACGGCGCTGCTCTGTAAAGATCCTATTGTTCATATGTAAATCTACCCATGCAAAACTAATCAATTAGACTCAAAGGTCAATTACGTGTCCATTAGTTCATCACATCGAATTTTGATTTTCTAATCGGCAGTCATATTCTATCTTCCTTCCTAATTGTACAAGATAGGGAATCAAACTGATTGTATCAAAAAGTAGTTGGGACACCAAAAGTGTCCTTCAATCATGAGTGACAGCACAGAGATCCTGTGAAGTGCTCCTCAGAGGTCTGTAACACATCAGTAGTTTCGCATGTCTCGTGACACAGTGCAATATTTCAAATTAATCTGGCCAAAGAACTTTTGTTTTATAAATAAATGGTCATTTAAGTGCTGCCTGTGATCAGCGTATAATGTTATCGTTACCCCTTACGACTCCGATGAGGTTTTGTTCCATCCTCCATGCGGTGCCAACTCACACCAGGAGCGAAGCAACTGGATTCGCGAGACCACGAGATTTGCCTGTCCAATTTGCCTGTTCTTGACTTTCAGTGTTTTTCTTGATTTTTGGGGTTCTACCATGGGTTAGTTGGCTAAATGGTTATGTTTTGTCTGGTTTAATTGTGTTTACTGTTGTGTTTATTGCTATGTTCTACTTTGTTGTGCTGTAGCCTAGAGTGGCTCCGGTGGCCGTGTTGGAGCCGTAATGTGCCGCAGAAGTGTGCAGTGTGAAATATTTTACACACAAACACACACATATATAGCAACTTTTAATGCTATTTTTTGTACTATTCAAACATACTGATACTATATATATATATATATATATATATAAACACATAGAGCAACTTTTCATGATGCTATTTTAGTGGTATTTAAAGGTGAGGTATGTATTTTTTCAAAAATGCTTTAGAAAAGAGTCGGGCCGAGTACCAAAACAAACTTGTAGCCAATCAGCAGTAAGGGGCGTGTCTACTCATGATGCGGAGGAGAGAGCGCTCAGTGCACAGGAGGACGGACTTTATAGCCGAACCGAGCGACAGAAAGATAGAGATGGCAGAAAAATCAAAACAAAAGAGGAAACCGTCTGCGGAACAATAGAAGGCTTACGATCAGGCAAGAAGTAGGACCCATGTAAATATCGGATCAGCTTTCCAGCGCTGGAGAGAACTCAAGGAGCGGAAGGCCTGCGATCGGATGCTGAGGTTGCTTTGTTTCTTCTCGATAGGTGAGTAACACCGTGTCTACACCGGACGCAACAGTTGTCGTGCAGCGCGACAAAGCGACCGTTGAAAATAATTAGAAATTTGTGTCAATATTTCATAAATAGAACGCAGCAGCAGTTTTCAGTGTAGACAGCATCACTGATTATAATGAGTTCTATAGTATTTTGTCGTGCAGCACCGCTCGCGTCCGGTGTAACATTGGTTTTGCTTTGTTTTACAGAACTAATCGTTGCCTGGGTTGCGTACGTATGTGTGTGGTGGAGCTTTTTAAATAGGGGTGAGACCCTTTTGGGGTAGGGGCGTGTTTGTTTTGGTGATTTGAAATATCAACATTGGCTACCAGAAATCACTTACCCCACCTTTAACCATATTGAGATATATAAATATGTACATACTGTATATATGTTTGTGTGTATACATATAGTATATCTGTATAGTATATATGAAATTTATATAAATACATCAGTATGTTTAAATACCACAAAAACAGCATTTTTATAAGTTGCAGGAACTATGGGAAAGTTGATAAATGTGATCACGAATCTCCCAAATTTGAAACACTGCTATTTCTATAGCCATTTTTGGAGTTCGACAGCCCCTTCAAACTGAATTTCCTTAAAAAATCCTCCTTTTGGGCTCCACAGAAGAAAATGAAGTCATACGCGTTCGGAGCGACATGAGGTTGAGTAAATTATGACATATTTAATCTTTGGGTGAAGCGCTCCTCTAAGCTTTGTGCTTCATACAATTCTCTTCAGTAGGAAAACAACATGCCTTTCACGGCTGCCTCGTTGATCTGGAGGTGCTGGAAACGTCCTGTGAGCTGCTTCTAGCTTTGGAGATTAAGTGTGAAGGCAGGACAGAATATCCCTCCGCAGGAGAGCACACTGGCCTTAAGACCGAAGTTTATAGTGCCGCTGCTTCAGTAAATATGAAGCGCTGGGAGTGAGCCGCGAGATGACTCCAGCGGCAGGGCCGGAAAGTTTGGCGAGCAGTCCGACCCAATCAAAATCAAAAGTGGAGGGATAAAGCAAGCGCAGCCGCTTTCTGCGGTGATGACCTGGATGATTGAAAGCCTTCACATATAGGATGGAGGATGTATAATGTATAATAAATGAGGATAGCGGCTGTTCAAGGTGTGTGGAGACTGCTTTAAGCAGACACAAGCATGATGATGATTTTATGTTTGAATCTCACGGCTCAGGTTTAATGAGACGTGGAAGCTAACAAGGTTAAAAACTGAAATGCTAAGTGTTCACGTCTCTCAGAAGGCTGTTGAATATTAAATTTACTGCTATTAAATAGATTTATGCAACCTAACTTAATTATTAAAGCAACACATGCAATAAGCCTTGTTAGTTGATGCTTCAGTTAACAGTCGGTATCTAGTGAAATATTTCAAGTACATACTACACACACTGTACTGTATGCATACAGATAATTACACATACTTCACACAAAACAGCTTCAATGATGAGGTGGCATGTTTAGTGCATAAAAAACAAAGCTTAAAGAAATAGTTCACCCAAAAATGAAAATCGTTATTATTATACCTAACCATTCAGAGTAACCATGGCTATGCATGTGTGTGTGTGTGCGTGTGTGTATAAAAGAAAAACACAGTCCATGATTCATGCA